TCACAAATAAACAAAGCAAAAACTTTGATGCACACATAAAAGAAGAAACATATACACTCATTTTAAATGTCCAAAGGGCACATCCTGTCTACAGGCACACAGCCTTACTAAGTCCCTGGGCCTAGAGCCCCGAACTGCTCTCTCTCCAGCTTTTGAGAGTTCTGTGTTTTATTATTTTTTTTAACGATTCTGGATATGATTCCTTTTATCAGGGATCTAGGACTCCCGGTGTGGTGCTGTTAGGGTATGCACTAGACTGCTATCACAAGGTTGGTGGTTCAAACTCAGCAGCTGCTCCTTGGAGTGGGGACTGACTGGAGGGTGCTTAACAACTGCAACATCACTTGATTTATGTAGCTTTTGTCTTGTGTAGTCAGGTAGTGCAAGCTCCTTACCATTGCTCTCTCCTTCCAAAGTTGTTTTCCATTTTTTGTATGAATTCTAAAATCAGCACTTCATTTTTAAAAAAGGCGGCTGCTTGGATTTTTATTGACTTTGCTTTGAAACTGTAGCTCAATTTGGAAAGCACATATTAAGTTTTTTCATTAGTGAATGTGGTCCATCTTCCACCTTGGTTGGTTGGTTGCTTATGGCTGTGTAAGTCGGTTCCGACTCGTAGCGACCCCATATAGGGTTTCCAAGGCTGTAAGTCTTTACGGGAGCAGAACGCCTCATCTTTCTCCGGCATAACCACTTGTGATTTTGAACTACTCACCCTGAAATCAGCAGCCCGACTCATAACCACCATGCTACCACCTAGGTCTATGTTTCTGAAGGTGGTCCTTCATAGAGTTAGTACATTGATATGTCAAGAAACACATTTCACATTTTCATAATAAAGGTTTCTGTGATTTTATAGTTAATTTAAAAAATTTACTGTCATATCCATTTCAGAAGCCCTGGTAGCGCAATAAGTAAGCATTTGGCTTTTAAACCAAAGCGTTCGAATCCTCCCGCTGCTCTGGGAGGAGCGACTTGGTGATCTTCTCCCCTAAAGGCCGGAAACCCTCTGAGACAGCTAAGGGGGCCGTGGGTCAGAGTTGACTTGATGCTACACAGTATGTTGTACATACATGTACATAGACACATGAGGGAGCTTCAGAAGTTCACGGAAAAATAGAATTCAGAGAGACAATGGACCATGTGAAGTGTCACTCATTCACAATGGAACTTGTCCTTGAACTTTGGAGTCTCTTATGCAGCTGTTTAATACACTATGCCATTTAAATACTGATCAGTGAAAACGCTATCATTTATTTGAATGGCTGTTCAGTTTCATAGACACTGATCATTTTTAAAATTCTCTTCCAGCTGGTCGAAGTGAAAGGTCCCAATGACCGTCTCTCGCATAAACAAATGATCTGGTTGGATGAACTTCAGAAGCTGGGGGCTGAAGTCGAAGTCTGCCATGTGGTTGCAGTTGGAGCCAAGAGCAAAGACCTGTGTTAAGAGCTACAGAATTAATATTTGGTAGTTGGTTAACACACGTTAGAAATATGAAAGCATTATTAAATTCTCTTTAATGCTAATTTGTTTCATCAGTTATAATCCTGTGGTTTAATGACTCATTCTATCACAGAACTTGGTATTTTCTTGAATACACTCCATTCCATACAAAAGACAGACATTAGTGACCATTTGAGGAATGGAATACATCTGTTATTTACCTTAGAAAAAAGCAGAATAACCCACGAAAGGTGATTTCACAGTTATGGAGTTGGTTTGAACCACAAGGTTGGGGGTTTAAGCTCACCAGCTACTCTTTGGAACCAATTTAACAACATGTCTTTTGAAACTCCAATCTCTTTAGCAATTGTCTCCTCTCCTTTTAGGTACAACCCTAATGACGACTACCTTATTAGAGGTAACTGTATATACACACAGCATTATTCAACAGGACTGCCTGGCTGAAGGTATCATTACCACTGGGGGAGGAGCATTAGGCTGTAGAAAGTGAATTCGACAGAGTGACAACAAGCCCAAGATCCTAAATTCCTATAGACTTGCCCTGAGGGGATTACGGGGAAATAATTACATCCATTTCTTTATTGAATGGAAGGATCAGTTAGGGCATGGTCCATTAAACCTACATGTTTTTAACTACAAGTGCTGAACGGATGTTAGGGATGTGGTCGGTCATTACTTCACTTTAAAACAGTAAGCACAAACAGTTGAGTGGATAGTACACAAGGAACAGGTGCGAGAAAACAGAGCCTTTGAATCTTGAACCATTGTACCCTTGTCGGTGATTTCATAAAGATAACTACAACCATTTCTGTGGAAAGTTTATTTAGCAGTCCAAATTTCCTTCACATTTCGTCATTGTTACACAAGATCTTTCATCTTCCTGCTTAGCCTGTTTGGTAACTCAAGTCACAAGCAGTGTTAGGCACAAAGGTTTTTAGTTTATACTTAAAATCAAGTTGGAGCTTTGAGGTTACTGTTATAGCCAGCAGATTTTGTGAAAGGATGTATTACAATAGTTCTCACTTTCTTAGTAGAGGTTAGTATCCTTTCTGTAAATAGTTAAGACAGTTGTGGTTTTACTACTGATTTCCATCAGAAACTACCAGTTAGACACAGTGTATTTTTCAGTTCCACCCTCGCCAGTCCTAGGCGGCCTGTGAAGCCGAGCAGCAGTCCAGGGGAGTGACGAGCGCTAGGCTCTCTGGTACAGTGTCTGTCACCACACTTCGGACGTCTGCTGCCATGGGGTCTCGTGTGCCAGCAGGCATGCCAAGCAGCTTTATGGTGGCCAGGACACACGGCTACTGGAGTTGTTTTTCATACTATGCACAGTACATTGCGGCATAATAATCATGATATAACAACCTACCAACCAAAAATTAAAAGTATTTTACTACATTTGATTATCATACAAAAATAGGCATATTTTTCTATTTTAAAATATTAACACTAACTTTGTAAAACTTTACAGTAGCAAAGAATATTACTGGAGTTGAAGTGAATGTGAAAAAAGAAAATTAGAGAAATAAATGCTCACACCCCCCCCGCCCAATAATGAATTTTTTTATAGCAGTTTATAATAATTTAAAAGCAGCTAACTGGAAAAGTTAGAATGATTCTGTTTCTAGTGGTGAGATGTGTTGCGTTTCTTTAAGGGGCTGAAGGTGGCTTCCCATCAGGAACTACAACGTATGTGTAATGACCGTAACAGTGATCTATGGTAAAGTGGGGCGCCTTTACTTTCTAGCAAACAATTTGGCAAAAACATCGAGTTTATCCACTGATGAATTTCTAAGGACATTTTATTTAAAAATTCTTTCATCTAGAGAGAGTAACTTTTAAAAAATAATTCAAATAGAAACCTGTATTCATCATATATAAAAATACAGTATTTTGAAAAACACTTGTTCTAGAGAAGGAAATAAGCTAACTACAAAATTTACTTATAAAAATTCTCAAAATCTTAAGATGGCAACTTAAGAAACTCTTAAATCATACAGCCAAATTTGCAAATCTCCCTGTGTAAACAGGAAATGAGGTGACGGAATGGTGCTAACCTCACTGCTGGAAGACACTTAGGCTGTGACTCCATAGCTCTGAGTGGACATCTGTCATACAAATGCAAAACAGGCATTTGGGATCAAAAATACACACCTGTCTGCTTCTCAGTATCCTGAATGTTGCTAGCAAAATCAGGAATGGGGCATGGTGTGTGTGTGTGTGTGCTTCTCTGTTTATTATAATGGCAGTATTTTAAGAAAAGTGTATTTTTATTTTCCAAATGTTCTCTATTTTTTAGTATTCTGAAAGATGTGCAGATGCAGGTGACCTGATGGGTGACCTCTCTGCACTGCTAGTTCCAAAGGAAAGTCCCACTGAGCAGGTGAGCACACTGCACAGACTGTGAGGAGAGGGGCTTCTCACTCTCCCCACTGAGCAGGTGAGCACACTGCACAGACTGAGGAGAGGGGTTTCTCACGCTCCCCACTGACCCTGCTACTCTCGGACAGGCAGCTGGAGACGCCTCTCTCCAGTGGACAGTCCTGAGAGGTTTCATGGAATCAGCATCCCACAGGCCTTCCTTTGCAGAGGGAGAAAAATGTGGCTTTTGGGATTCCTAACCTATTGGTATGAAGCTTAGTATGAAAAACCTGTTTCCAATATGCAGTGGGATTTTAACACCTTATTTTAAAAACAAGTAATATTTTCCTCAGTCTCGTTCAGACCTTAATATTAATGTCAAAGGCACTTCTAAGTTAAATTATCTACAGCAAATCCTTTAAAATGAACTGTTCATATCACTTCACAGTTAATTCTATGAAACCCATGATTTTAAGACCAAGTTAAAGTTCCAAAGAAGGTGATCTAATAATTACAGCCTTTGGAACACTGAATGCTTCCTTCATCAGTTGAAATCAATCAGTAATAATATAAAGTAAGCCGGAAAAACAGGACTGCCTACTAGTCCTTTTAGGAGTTGTCAAATGCTTCTAGAAATACGTTGTTTGTTGTCACTGAGTCACCTCCAACTCAGGGTGACTTAGGTTTTACACGATGAACTCACACACCACACCTTCAACACCGCTGCTCTGTCTGTGTGTATTGGGACAGAGACCAGACGGAGGGTCCATCAGGTAACCTTCAGCAGGTGGTAGGAAAATGGATACAGACAAAAACGTAGTACTGCTTGCTTCCCTGCAAATCGCCTGAACGTGAGGCAGGTGTGGGGTAATGCACTGGGCCGCAGGGTCAGTTTGAGTCATGAGGTCAGTGGTTCAAATCCACCAGCCACTCCTTGGAAACCCTATACAGGGTAAGCTATGAATCGGAACTGATTCGATGGCACTTAACAACACACCTTTTAAAAAGAAAGTGAAGGAAGCATGATTCAACATGTTTTTAAATACTAATGCAAACATCAACTATTATTCTTACATATAAAATTAACTAGAGTTTCAAATACTTCGGTCAGCAACTTTTGTTCAGAGGAAAAAAAACTGGCTTCCCTAAAACTGTTCAGAGAATACGTCCTTTCAGTCCTCATTTGCCAAGGTCTCAGTAGATAACCATATTTTGGCCCCACTTAAGAATTTGCTCAGCGGTGTTCCTGAAATGCTCCGTCTGCATAGGTTACCCACAGGAGAAAACGGAAACGAGGAGGAGAGGAACTCAAGGGTCCTCGCGGCGGTGCCTGGGCTACTGGCCTGGAAGTACATCCTGCTCTGGTTGAGCTCCGAGCGGCAAGCTGGCAGCGGGCCACGGTGCTGCTGCCGAAGCATCCTGCTAAGCGTGCTGACCTCGTCCACCAGAAGAGAGGCCTTGTGGTAAGCAGTGATGAAGCCACCGTTGCTGATCTGGGTCTCGGGGACCCAGCGGAAGTAGCAGAGTTTCCACAGCTTTATGTGTGTTCCCGAGAGACGTGGCAAGATGACCCCATGCAGGTCAGCAGGTCTGGAGAACCACTCTCGGAAGTACTGCTCCATGCCACTGTTCTGGCTCTCGGCTTGCTGACTTAGCTCTGGCTTTGCTTTTAATATCAGTGAGTTTCTCCTGGGGAGTAAGTCTTGGTCACCGAAGATTCCATTCCTCAAGGAAGATGGCATTCCTCGGAGTGTGGAGCTGTAGCTCTTCTGTATAGAAGAGAGAGATTTTAGAATGATCTTGGAGCACACCTTTTAGAAAAATGTCAAAATCCAATGTCAAAAATGAACAGTACTATGCAAACCGGGTAGAACTGTAGCCTCAGAGAACATTCCGCTCTGCTCCTTATTCTATTCATTCCTTGTCCCTCCTCTACAATGTAACTTTTTTTTACAGTTTTTATTGTGAATTGAGTGATAGTTTACATGGGAGAACATCCGTTTTTCATCATCGTTTCATTGCAATGATTACAATCTCCTCCATGCATCATCCATCATTCAACAGTATTTGCTTCTATTCCCTCTGGTTGTTTTGGGGGATGTACACAAAAATACTCAGGAATATAAAATCATTTAAACAACCAAAGGGTACATTCTGCAAGCCTGCCTCCTGGCCACTAGCACTCAAGCCTTTTTCTTTCCATGAGTCTAGTCCTCAGCTGCTCCCTCTCTCCATGTCCTCATCTCTGCCTCCATCGCTGGTGTCACTGCTTCTCTGGAGTGGGTCCCACATGGAATGTAACTTTTTAGGTGTCAGTGGTACCTCTGCTAACCACTAGCCTGTTTGAGGGTGAGGAGGAGGAGAGGACTTCCTAAGTCTTCTGGGTTAAAAAAAAAAATCTCAAGCTGGCACACTCTAGCAAGAACAAACAGGTGGGAATGGAAGGCTTCAGGACCTCCCAGCTCCGAGCTGCCATCTGCTAGCCTTAGACAATCAGGGCTTGGAGGCCAATAAGACAAGAAGTTCAGCTCAACAGTGAAAGAGTCCTCAGGAACCTGGGTTAGCAGTACTGTCTTGGGAAGTGACGTCATTTTAACATTTAGGTTCTGAAAGAAATGTGTGAACAAGCATCATATTCTTAGTACGTTTTTGTAATTTACCTTTGTCCGCTTAAAAGATTTCACAGCACCATTCTGTATACAAGGCGTACTCTTTCCAATGTATAAGGGGTTATGGAAAAGGGTGCAGTCCTTTGCTGTAAACTGAAGAGACCAGTCCCAAACTGAGGGGAATTTTAAGCCCTTTTCATCACCCAATTGGATATTTCTGCTTATAGCAAATTCCTACAAAATAAAATATTTGAACATTGTGAAAAGATGCAAACCTAACAATCTTCTTTTAGAGATGACTTAGTTTTGATGACCTACACATCAAGACCCCAGTGATATTTTCTGAATGGGAATATGCTAAAGCACCAGGTTCTATTTTAAGAGAAAAGAGCTCTTCTTGGCAGGTCAGAGCAAAGGACTATGACTGTGTTTGTCTGAACAGGGCAAGGAATACTCCCTGACATTAGCAGTCAGGTTTTAATTTTAGTTTTCATATTAAAAAAAGCAAAGAAGTGCACACAAAAATGACATACACAAAAATAAAACTGACTGAGACGACTGATTAGGGACAAACAGGCCCCGTGTCTCAGTAGACTCTGAGGCCATCACTGTGCCTTAGCATAGTGTTTGGAGAGGTTAAATTCTCCTAGGGAATCATAGAATACAGAAGAATTTCCTTTTAAAACAATTAAGTCTAAAAAACCCTGTGTTCCACTCCCAGAAAAGTAGGCTGCAATGTGAAGAAACGGCTCACATACTCTTGAGGTAAGACGACCCCAGGGCTCTCAGCTTTGGGAGGTCCCTCATTAAGGAAGCTCTGCCCCTACTACATTAGACTCAGTACCATCACTGTCCAGTGCTGGTGGCTTTCACACGCACAATCCAGAGGGAGCCATTCCCCTGGGATCGTGGATAACACAACACTTCAAAGTTGACAAGATGGCAGCAAAAGGCACACTGTTGATGGTGGAGTCACATGACAGACCACGCACAGGCGCTTACAGGCTAACTGGAACAGGAACCTAAGACTAGCATGGTCCCAGACCAGGGCCAGAATTCCGGTTACCTGACCCTGAAGCAGTATTCACCTTTAGCTGTCCACATGCCAGGGTCGGGGCCCTGAAGATGAGGCTGGAAGCCCCATAGTTTACTGCTCTTGTTTCCCTCGATGTTCACTTCGGCATTTATGGGGGCTAATAACCCAAACCGGAGTCCTGGTGTGGCGCTGTGGGTTAATGCGCTAGACTGCAAAGTCGGCGTGAACTGCAAGGTTGGTGGTTCAAGGCCACCAGTCGCTCCTTGGAAACCCTCTACAGGGTTGCTATGGGTCAGAACCAACTTGACAGCACTTAACAACAACAACGTTACCAGTTGAAATGTACGAGACAGAAGTTGTAGTTTAGGAAGGTTTCCATGACTGGCAACCGGAGAGACATGTTTCCAGTTTTGCTCGAGACTCCCCTTAGTCTTCAGTGATTTTCCTCGTAGGTTAACGAGTCCTAACTGAAACTCATAGGGCTCCCCAAGGACGACGGCCGTGTGACCTGCTGGGCTCTCAAGTGTACACTGCCTGCTTCTCATCTCCCCCTGCTCCACCACCGAGGAGATGAGTGTCCTCACAAGGTACGTCCACTGCTGTTCCATCGCCCACTCCGACAGGCCAGATGTGACAACAGGGACAGAAACGCTTACAATGCTCGCTCAAAAAAAATCAACCAAGTTCCCAGTTTTACATCAAATTTTTAAAGAACTCGAACAGAAATTGCAGTTTAATATGGTAGCAAGACAATTTTAAATGATGGATTGCAAATATGTAGCTTATCAGTCATATTTTAACAAAGTGGTAAAAAAGAAGCCCCCCCAACCACGGCTGCCTTCCCAGCATTGCTTACTGTGCTTTGCTTCACCCGCTGATGGGGGCAGTTGAAGAGGAAAGTGCCAAACACGGAGACCCACGTGGTGTCATATAGGACGGCCAGGTATGTTTCCGAAAACTCGAAAGCTGATGGATATTGCTCTAACAGCTGCCACGTGGCATCCAAAAACAGCAAAAATAAGGGAGACTGACAAATGAAAACAGAAAACGGGGTTATTCAGTATTGTCCTTCAGCTGCTCGCAACTGCTTCCAAATTGATGGCGATTTAAGGGAGAGATTAAGAGACTAAAACAACATGTAAGCCTACCACACTCAACTCCTACGTTGAACCAATGGTATGTGGACACAGTAAACAGATCTGATATCAAATGTAGTCACGTGTGGGTCCACCAGACTACACATCACAGCTCTGTTTCCCAGTAAGCACACGAGTTGGAAATAGCATACTACAGAGATGAGCAGGCTGAGATCATCTGAAGGGGAAAAAAATGTCTAATGCAGCTTGAAAATTATCTGTAGAAGTTAAAAATTTTTTTTAAAGTCTTTTCATCATGCTAGACCAGAGGAGTCCTGTGATTTCACAAGGGAAGGATTCATTGTTGAGCTAAGTTGCACTGGACTGCCAAGTGCAAGGTCAGTATTTCAAAGCCGCCAGCTGCTCCTCAGAAACTTATCGACAGGGTTGTTGTGAGTCGGAATCAACTTGATGGCACGTAACAACAAGAGCTGGCACAAGTCAATGTGTCCTCTATGAAGTAACCTGGAGGAAGTGGCATAATTTGACTGTCTACAACAGGCCACTTGTCTGTCAGTGTGTGGGACAATGGTGATTGCATGTTATATGATGCTGGAAGCTATGTACCAGTATTTTAAATGCCAGCAGGGTCACCCGTGCTCAACAGGTTTCAGCTGAGACATGAAGGAGGAGAGGTGGACCACTTCTGAATGGTCAGCCACTGAAAACCTTAGGAATAGCAATGAGACACTGTCAGATACAGTGTTGGAAGATGAGTCCCTTAGCGTTGAAAGTCACTCAAACTATGATTCGGGAAGAGCTGCCTCCTTAAAGTAGAGCTGACTTTAATGACGTGAATGGAGTTAATGGAACTTTCTGGACCTGGCTTGGCTGCTGTGGCACAACTCAAAGTGAGAAGACACGGTTGCCAACATCCACTGGTAACTGGAATGTGAAATAGATGAAGTATCGAGCAATCCAGAAACATTGGAATTTGTCAAAATGGAATGGAATGCATGAAGATGGGCTTCCTAGGCACTGCTGTCTGTTGTCAGGAGCCGTCAAGTCAGCCCCAGCTCACAGTGACTCCGCATACAGAAGGGAACACCGCCCAGTCCACCACCACTGGTGCTGCCGCTGCGTCAATCCATCTTACTGGGGGTTTTCCTCTTTGCTGAACCCCCACTTTTTCAAGTATGATGTCGTTCTACAGGGACTGGTCCCTCCAGATGACATGTCCAAAGGATGTGAAGAAAAAAGTCTGGCCATCCGAGGCATTCGTGGTCTGAAACGGATTGGCACTGGCCATTGTGAATCGGAAAATCCTATTGTACACAATGCTGAGAAGTACAAACTGAAGAGAAATGGCATCACATTCACTGTCAAAAATAAAAAAAATATTTCAAGATCTTGAAGTGCAGTGTTGTCTGTGATAGGATAATATCCATATGCCTACAGGGAAGACCAGTAATACCACCATGATTCAAATTTATACACCAAACACTCAAACCAGTGATGATGACATCGAAGAATTCTACCAACTTCTTCAGTCTGAAATCGATCAGATATGCAGTCAAGATGCATTGATGATTACTGGCGAATGTACTATGAGAGAAATGACGAGGATGGATCGGTAGTTGCAAAATACAGTTTTCCACCTGAGCTTCACCAAATGGAATACACAGAAATCAAACTGACTCCATCTGTTCCGGATCATTAGCCACAACTCAGCCAGGGACCAAGTGTGGTGCAGGCCATCAATCGCTCATATGCCAGTTCCAGTTGAAACTGAAGAAAATAACACAAGAGCCAAAATATGACCTGGGTATATCATACTTGAATCTAGAGACCATCCCAAGAACAGACTGGATGCATTAGACACTAATGACCAAGACCAGAAAAGCTGTGGGATAACATCAGGAACAGAATCCAAGAAGAAAGCAAAAAGACAGGAAAAGAAGACAGACCAGAGTGGATGTCAGAGAGAATCTGAAACTTGTTGAGCACAGAGAAGCTAAAGGGACTGGAAGAAATGATCAAGTATAAGAGCTGAATAGACAATTTCAAAGGGCAGCTCAAAACCAAGTGAAATATAATGAAATGTGCAGAGAGACCTGGAGTTAGAAAACCAAAGGGAAGAACACACATAGCTTTTCTCAAGCTGAAAGAACTGAGGAAAAAATTCAAGCCTTGGCTTGCGGTATCGAAGGATTCTATGGGGAAAATATTGAATGATGTTAGCGACATCCAAGGAAGATACAAGGAATACACAGAGTCACTGTAACAAAAAGAAGTGCTTGATGTTCAAGCATTTCAAGAAGTACGATATGATCAAGAACTGATGGTACTGAAGCAGACAGTCAAAGCAGCACTGAAGGCATTGAGGAAAAAAGCAAGGCTTCAAGAATTGATGGAACACAACTGTTTCCATCAATGGATGTAGCCTTAGAGATGCTCACTCATCTATGCCAAGAAATTTGGCCAAACAATGGGAGAGAGCCATATCTGTGCTTATTCCAAAGAAAGGTATGCAGGCTTCATTGGACAATATCATTACTATCACATGTAAGTAAAATTTGGCTGAACAGAATTCACAAATGATTTTTTTTTTTTTTAAATCAACAGAGCACATTGACTGGGAGCTGCCAGAAACTCATGCCGGATTCCTAAGAGGACAGGGAACTACGGCTATCACTGCTGATGCCGTCTACACTTTGGACATATTACCAGGAGGGTCCAGTCCCTGGAGAAGTACGTAATGCTTGGGAAAGCAGAGGGTCAGCGAATAAGAGGAAGATCCCCAAAGAGATGGACTGATCCAGACAGAGGCAGCACCAACAGTTCAAACCTAACAACAACTGTGAGGTGGCCCAGGACTGGGCAGTGTTTCATTCTGCTGTGTACAGAGTTGCTGTGAGGGAGAACCAACTGGACAGCACCTAACAACAATGAAATAGTGACACAACTACACATTCAAGGCAGCCGCTCATCTACAGCTATTCCTAATGTATGCCTCTTGAGCTTTTCATTCTTACTCAGTATGCCCCATTTTAAGAAAATGTCATTTGAAACACCCAAAGATCAAATGTGCTGATTATCGGCTTTGTAGAAAAGTTAATGCAGCGTTTCTTCAGCTATTTTTCAGCTTGTTGTTAGGTGTTACGTGTTGTCACCTTACCAGGTTTGCTTCTAAGGGGCATCCGGGCTGTACTTCTTTCAAGACAGACTTGTTTGTTGTTGTAGCACTTGCTTGTACTTTCAACAATTTTCATTAACATCATAATTCAAATTCACAGATTCTTCTCTGGCCTTCCTTATTCACTGTCCAACTTTCACATGCATATGAGGCAATTAAAAATACAATGGCTTGAGTCAGGAGCATCAAAGTCCTCAAAGTGACATCTTCACTCTTTAACACTTTAAAGAGGTCTTTTTAAGTCTGCCCAATGCAAATATGCCCTCTGATTTCTTGATTGCTGCTACCAAGAGAAGCGACTGTGGATCCAAGTAAAATAAAATTCTTGATAACATCAATCTCTTCTCGTTATCCTGATTTTGTTTATTGATCAAGCTGAGAATATTCTTGCTTTGTTTATACTGAGGAGTAATCCACTCCAAAGGCTGTATTCTTTACTCTTCATCAGTAAGGGCTTCAAGTCCTTTGCTTTTATCTGCCAATCAACGGTTGTTAATGATGAGCATACAATCTGGATGTTCATTATTCTCAAACAGTCTAGTTTCTTGGGTTATTTGCTCAGAATACAGGTTGAGAAAGTTATGGTGAAAGTCAAAACCCTGGTGGACTTTGCCGATTGTAAACCACATGGGTTCCCCTTGTTCTGTTCAGAAGACTGCCTCTTTACTTACAGGTTCTGCAGGAGCCCAATCAAGTGTTCTGGACTTCCCATTCTGAGCAATGTTACCCGCAGTTTGTTATGATCCACACAGCGGATGACTTTGCATAGCAATAAAGCACAAGTAGACATCTCTCTGGTATTCTCGGCTCTCAGTCAGCATCCACTTGATGTCAGCGGTGTTCTATGTCCTCCTCTGAATCCCGCTTGAATCTCTTGGCAGTTGTGTGAATGTACTGCTGCCACGTGTCTGAACTATCATCAGTAAAATTTTACTTGCACGTGAAACTAACGATTAGCTGATGATTTCCCCATTTTGCTGGGTCACCAGCAAATGTCGAGCATGTTCTTCCCTTCTGGTTTTCCAACTCCAGGTCTTTGCGCATTTCACTATGATATTCAGGTTGCCCTTTTGAAATGTTCTGTTCTGTTCCTTTACTTTATCATTTCTTCCATTCACTTTAGCTACTCTGTGTTCCTGAGGAAGTTTCGTGGTCTCTTCAGACATCCACATTAGTTTTTCTTTCTCGCCTGTCTTTTTAATAACCTTTTGCTTTCTTCATATATATTCTTGATGTCATCCCACAATTTCTCTGGTCTTTAAACCACTAGTGTTCAACATATTAAATGTCTCAGTTTTTCAACTTAGAGAAATGTAAGACAACTTTTTAGTATTTCACGTATATAATTCTGAAGTTATCTGTAAATACATCAATGCGTTTTGAACTAATAAAACTAAGCTCTTTATGGTAAGTAAAATGGCCACCTATCTCTTTACAGACGGTTCCTCTCACAATGACATACAAGTTATCTTTGCTACATGTAAAAACCACTAAGAAGGCAAGCAGATGTTGGTACCTCTTTGTCTGATCTTTTTAAGTGGTTGCACCTGTCCAGGAACTGGTATCCTGCCATGACCCACTCCTTCTGTATCAGACTCTGGAAGCCAGTGGTGGTCCTACAGTAAGGGTCCAGCATCACTTGGATAAGGGACGCTACAAAGCAGCTCAGGTCTCTTCCCTCCTCCTCTGTCAATAAAACAGAAAGAAATGATGACTAATAGAAAAAGGCTCACAGAGAAAGGTAAGTATACAATTCCACATTCTATGAATGCCCAGACACACTTTCAGGTTGTTTGTGTGAGGGCATGTCACTGTCTTATGGCAACTCTAAAATACCATAAAGACTAAAGTGAACTACAGCAGTAATCTGAATGAAATGGGAAATGTCTTTGAAGAAAGATATCCTCACTTTTTATGTGTCCATGGTTTCGATATCTTTCTAGAAGTCATCTCACCTCTGTTTCATCAGGATGTTAAATGCCAGGGAACCTTTCTGCTGATGGCTCTACAGGGTAACCACTCAGAAGTGAATGTGGGGTAATGCACATAGTACCTCAGCATCAGCCTATAACTGACGACAGTCATTTCCCTCCTGCATTTCACAGCTGCTTCGCTTTCAACAAGGCAGGTATTATTCAAACACATTAAGAAGGAACTGAACAAACCATTATGATCACAGAGCAAAACCCATCAACACAGTGTTAGCACACGAAATCATCCCATGAATGCAAGGTTGGTTTACCTTCTGAAACTAAAGGACAAAAGAACACGGTCATCTCATTCGATGCAGAAAAAGCATCTAACAAAATCCAACATTCACTCCTGATCAAAACTCTCAGTAAAACCTTAATAAGTGGGGATTTTTTCAATCCGTTAAGAAGCATCTACAAAAAGCCCTGCTGCTAAAACTTTTACTGTGAAAAGATGGAATGTTTTCTCCCAAAGATCAGGAACAAGTCATTTCTACTCACATCACACTGAAGGGTTTAGCCAGTGTAGTAAGGCAAAAAAGAGCTCAAAGGGCTCCAGACTGGGAACAACGAAGTATAAATGTCTGCGTTTCAACAAGACCCTGCATATAAAATGTACGTAAGAATTCACAAAGTAATTAACTAGAGTAAGTGATCCCAGTGCATTCACAGGAACTCATGTTCAATGTACAAAAAACAATTGTAGTTCCATACACAGGAACAATCGGAACTATAATGAGATCAATTACATCCGCAATAGCATTAGAAAATAAAACAGGACTAGCAAAGACAATGAAGAGACATGCACGTTCACAGATGGAAGATTCGATGCTGCTAAAAGTGTCATTCTGCTGATCTTAATCTATGGGCATTCAAAACATCTCGATCAAAATTCTGGTAGTTTATTTTTTTATGATCCAAAAAGTTATAGAGAAACACACAAAGGATCCAGAGTAGCTAAAATGATTTTGAAAACGAAACAAGTTGGAGAAGTTACATGCCACAATTTCAAAACTTACTATAAAGCTACTTTAGTAAAGAAAGTGTGATACTGACTTAGGATCAATGGAATAAAACTGAGTCCAGAAATAAATCCGTGTGAATTCTGTGATCATTTACATGGGAGAACATTAGCTTTACATTCATCCTATCGCGTATCCTTTCATTGCTATGGTTACAAGCCCCTCCATTTGCCATCAAACAACCAAAGGGTATACCATGCAAGCTTGCGCCCTGGTCATCAGCACACAGCCCCTCTCCCTCTCTGGGTCTAGAGTCCCCAGCCACTCCATCTCTCCATGTCATCATCTCTGCCTCCAACTCTGGTGTCATTGTTTCTCTGGGTAGGGGCCCGCTCTCTGCTCTTCTCCCTTGATGGTCCCATGGACCTAAGTTCCTAGACTGCAAAGTTAATCACTCCCCTCCTTTTCCTACAAAATGTCTACCTTTACATTTCCAACCCACACAATCAGTCTTGATAACAATTATTCACTACTGTAGCACAAGAGACTTATCCCAATCTCTTTTCATCAGCCCCGCCCAGACAGATTGGATATTACTCAGTGGAGATTCCACCTTCCTCCACGCTGTCTGGAACTAGGCTCCCTCTTGAAAACTGGTAAGCCAGTCACTTCTTGCCTTTATAGCCACCCCCCATTTTTGGTAGCCAATGTCCAAAGTTGCCCATCCCTGTCTACTGTGTCTACTATAGTGATATTTCTGGTTATTCCTTTCTCTCCCCCTTATGTGTCTATTTTATAATGGTATGCCAGAGTAACCAAGATTCAAAGGACAGCCAAGCATCTTAACATTATTTCCCCCTTTTGCCCATTCCAACCATGTCTCAATCCCCGTATCCCAGGACCCTGTTGTTCCAAGGTTGTGCATACCTCATTCTTTACCTTTGTCCCACTTAGCCCATGCAGACCTGCCTAATTGTTCTCCCATCACCTTGTTCTTCCATTCCCCTCTCCCTTCTTGTATATTGCCCTCCTCCGTAGCACCCAAACTATCGTTGTGTCTATTCCCTGCCCTGTGTCCCACCTTCCTCTCCCTCCCCTTGCCCCATCCCCAACATCCTGGTAAAAAGCAAAGGCTCCCCCTACCCCCTTTAGTATGGGTTCTTTTTCTTAGTCTTTTACAGTAGTGGTCTTATGTAGTACTTCTGCTTTTGTGACTAGTTTCATTCAACATAATGCCCTCAATGTACATCCATGTTATGCGGTGGCTTGCAGCTTCCTTGTTATTCTTCAAGGTAGCATAATATTTCATTGTGTGTATGTAGCACAGTTTATCCATTCTTCAGTTGATGGGCACTTTGGCTGCCTCCATCTTTTTGCTATTGTAAATAGTGCTGCAATGAACATTGGTGTGCATATATCTTCTC